CACGGATGTCGCTTCTTTTTTTTCAAACCTTGGTGTGTCTGCTAGATAAAGTCTTATAATTTGAGGAAGCTGAACCCCCCCCAGGGAAAAAAATTATCTACGGCCCTGCAGGAATGTATACAAACTGGACAGGGAGTCTCCATATGCCCAGCACCAAAGGCTCCTATAATGAATACATAATGGTATTCTCAGTTTCATTTTGGTCCTACTGTACCAATCCCCTGCCAATCTACAGGCAATCACAACATTCAAATTATAAGAGTAAAGTAGGGAATACACGGTTAGAATTTTGAATGAACAAAATCGATTTTGGAGCATTCGTTCGCCTTTCTAATCGTTGATGGGGTGAAAATTCACAACCATTTTAGACTGTGGTGACGAAAAAATGTAAAGGAGGAGGTTGGAAAATTTTTCTCAATCGAACAAATTTCTAACAGTGAATGTGATTTTCATTCAGAAACTCCATTCATTCCAGAATAGAATGTTAAATAAAATCGAAGATTGAATAAAACTTTAAACGACAATCGGCAAGTTTGCGATGCCCAATATCGAACTTTCCGACTGGATTTACCGCACGCAAGTTCGTGCAGAAATCTACCTGTGTATACCCTACTTTAGCAACTTGGATATTGAGCAATCAAAGTGGAACCATGGGCAAAATGTTTAAAAAATTACATATATTTCAACACATCACTAGCATTAAGATAGCAGGTTTTGTTTTTGTCCCCACAGTAACAGTTTTTTACCCGTTAATCCTTCCAGTAAATCCATAATTTTTTAATTTTCCTTAACAGCATGACAATGATGTTCGCTCTGCAGTGAAATCACTGCAGTGTTGTCACCTTGTGTACAGGGTAGTTATAGGCAGACATGTAGCTTTAAATGGATTTTATTTAGGATAGTAACATAGGAGCTATACCCTAGCAACATTGAGTTTTTAAGAGTCGCATCCCCTACCATTTAGCTCTTCTCATCACTAATTCTCTGATGCAATTACCGGCTGTCAAAATGGCATGCTATGTACTACATAGCAGGAGTGGCTGTCAAAATGGAGCTGCTCCTGTTTAAAAAATGACACGTAGTCTGCAAATGCCATTTTTTTATAAAATGGAAGAATTAATTGTTGCAATGTATTTACCATTTTATGGATATGTAGATCAAAGGTGTGACCGTTGATCTGCATTTGACATCAGTTAACCCTCCTAATACCTATTAGGTTACTGTTCAAATTTGACAGGATTTTTAATGTGGGTCAACTGGTCATTAATCAAAAACAATGTAAAGTAATGTAACTGCAATCAATTTACATTTTTGGGCTGGATACCTGTAACCTTTTTTTTTGTCAACTGATTACTGTCTGGAATTAATGCCGGCATTTTTGTTGAAGAGACTGCGAGTTTGCCTCTACATTGAGACTGGTTCCCTAGAATATATATATAAATAAATTATTTTCCTCTACTTATCGTTTTCCTGACGTCTCCTTGCCAGTCCTATGACTTCATCCCTGACTTCTTCTGGTGAAAGCAGAGTGCAGGCATTCTTCCAGGACTGAGCAGTGCTCATGTAATGATATGTAAGCGCCTCTCGGTCCTGAAGCACTGCAAGCCCAGCCTGCACAAATTCAGCCGTAGAGGATACTCACCCACACGCCAAGGTTCAATGCATCAATGTGTCCTTATATTAATGGCAGATACACATGGCATCACAAGTATGTGCAACGTTTCAGAACCTATCGAGGTCCCTTAAAGGAGAACTATGGGGTTAAGGCTTTTCCCCATAGTTCTCCTTAGGGTAACGTGAGGACACAAACTAGCGTCCTCCCGTCACCCTAGGCTCAGTATACCTCGAGCCGTAGCTCGCGGTATACTGAGACGCCGCAGTATACCGCAAGCTGCTGCTCGCGGTATACTGAGACGCCGCAGCTGAAGCGGATCCCGACAATTGTGCCGGGATCTGCCCAGCTGCGTGACTGACAGCTGGCTCTGCCTATCTAGAGGCAGAGCCAGCTGTACCCGCCCCCTCCCCTGTCCGTTCCGCCAGTCAGCACTGGCGGATCGGAGCGGGGGGAATCCAGCCCCTCCCCTGTCACGGCAGAGAGCCGTGACAGGATCGATAGGTGAGAGAACGCCGCTATGTGTTCGCTCACCTCCCGATCTACTGAGCCGACCTGTGACAGTCTCATTGTCACAGGTCGGCTATAACTATGAGGTGAGTGAAAAGCACTCACCTCATAGTTCTCCTTTAATCAGACAAATAACACAGTGACCAGCCTGTGTCATGATGTGTCCCCAAGGGGGCATGTATACAGAAGGCTGGGCTCACAGGAAATGGGTAGACTGACAGTGTTATTTTGCTCTGAAGAGGATTACTACTGGCACTGGTCTGAGCAGGAAACCAGGGACAGCCCTGGGAAAGTAGGTAAAGCTTGCCAGTAATTTTTTATTAATGGGGAAGTTTGGGGAAGCCTAATAAGCAAAAAAATATATAATTCTGGAGTTACACTTTAAACCAGATGAATAAAGGTTGTTTGCACCTGTTAGTATTGTATAGTTTTTGCACTAACCCTTTACTGCCACTCTACTGGCAGAAACAACACATAGCATAACTATGTTACAGGGGGGACCGAGATTAAAGGCCTTTGTTATATCATTCACAGGTTTTTAAATGGTCCTTACAAATCTGTTCACATTTACTTGATGGGAACTGTGATCAAAGGAAAAAAAAAAGGCAGAGCCATCTTACTTATTCCCTGGATTTTCTCTGGTGGCATGTACTGCATCAGTTGCCTGTTTCTTAACAGCATCCTGTACGACTGAGGTCTGCAATTAAAATGAAATAGGTAAGATTACTGCCGGCCGAGTAGAAGACAGACACACATCTCAATTCACATCTTTTTTGTAGTAGTAAGTATTCAGAAACAATATTTCACCTAGTCTGACTTTCAGCAAGGATTCTGCAGGAAAGACATTTTCTGATTTGTTCATGAATTCAGCCTCTGGGTGAGTTAAAACTCTAATGACTGAGGATCAAAGGATAAAATGGGATTCCAGATTTGATGTACGTGTATTATTTAATGAAGCAGATGAACAAGTGTGAAGCAAGAAATAATATAAAGTCTCATAGTCAATATAGGAGAACAAGATCACATCAAAATCTGACAGCTGTAAAAATAGAAAACACAGGAACCCATTAAATGTCTTCTGGTGATGTAAGTAGACGTTGATGGCAGGTTTATGGTGACTTGCAAGATATCCCGCTGTTTGCTGCGCGATGCAAAGACCAGAGATGGCTTCTTAGATGCAGATGTGGTTCCTGGAGCGAAAACATATTTCCCATGTGCTCCAGAACAATCAGATAGAGGGAAACAGGCAGAAATTCAGGAGATGTATATGGATACACGCAATCAAACAGGAATATGTTGTATTTAAAATTCACAAAGTGGAAAGTCTACCTGCTGATTGCCTATAATTTTTATCTTGGCATTCATGTTATGCAAAATAGTTTCCCTGCCAGCTAAAGACCCCTGATTGTCATTATCAGTGTAATGCGTCAGGGCTTTGTGGTGGTACAGAATATATTAACCACTTGCTGTCCAGAGCAATTTCTGAATGTTGGCAAGAAAACTGCTTAAAACCCCCAAAGTTTATATATTTTCTGAAAGCAGAGGCCCTGTAAAAAAAAATGCTAGGTACAATTTATGTCGCACGGTATTTGCACAAATGCTTATCAAACCAGTATTTTTTAAGGATAAAGTACACTAAAATTACATTTTTAATGCACATAAACAGAATATAATACCCAATTTTTTGGTAAAATATAAAAGATGGGGTGTTTGCGTTGTATGTGCGTATTACCTTTATTTTAAAATTTTATTTTATTTTCTTTTTTTACACTCAACATTATTACTATGACATAGGGTGCTAATAAGCCCATTATGTAGTAGCAAATATAATGTGACAGGTCCTCTTTACGGAGACATCAGACCCCAATGTCATCTAGGGACCCCAGAGATCTGCTTCACCAGCTTCTTCTCCTGGCTCTAAGATTTGGAGAATGTACACAGTGATACAAGAAGTGATGTAATACACATCACTTCCGGGTCAAGTGATCAGAGGAGAGATCAGCGGCTGGAAGACACAGAGTGCCGCACTGTACAAACAATCCGGCGCCTGTACAGATGCCAGATCACTTGCAAATAGACAGCAATCGCCTACTGTTTCTTGGCATAATCACTTCAAGCGGATGACGTGTATTTACGTGAACCCATCTGAAGTGGTTAATCAGTCACAACACATCTTCTAGATCAGCATTTCTCAACCTTTATTCAATCATGGCATCTTTTAAAAACATGCAACATCTTAGTACCATGAGAGGTAAAAAATAAGTCTTATATCTTCGCAATACTTATCACGCATGTACTTAACATGAAAAGGATATGTGATGCTGGGTCCACTTTAATCATATTGATTAACTTTGCTCATGTTCAAATGACCTAAACTTATCAAAGTACAAGAGACATGTGAATTCTTACTTGGATCTTGCTGTGCTTTATAGATTTCTTTCAGATCTGTGCAGTAATCCAGTTTGAAACTTTGCCTCTGTGCAGGAGTTTCCTGTGATAAAGACCAGTCACTGCTGCTCTCCATGTGCACCTTGCTGGTCTTGTCTCCACCCTCTCCTGTAGTTTTCTACAGACAGCCAGTAATGGGTGGGGCCTGTTGGGTCCCTCCCACAACTCTGCTCTCTGCACAAATAATGTACAGCAAAGGGATGATGCCATCGCTACATTTACAAGGGAATAACTAGGTTTGTAAATGCATTTGGTGCATATAAAGTGGATTTATATCCTTTGTGATGATTAACTAATATAATTCAGCTAAAGTTTTTGTGCCCGACATTCAGCTTTAAGGGGAGTACAATTAAAAAGAACATGCAGTAAACTGGTATGTCCAAGACAAGTATTGCCATGCTCTACTCTACAAAACAACAAAGGTCTCTTTAATGTTATTATCTAATAAAATGAGTAATATATATTACTAATATAATTATCTAGGCTGGCCCTTTTAAGGCTTCAGTGAAGGTAACAGTTAGTGTTAGTCACTTAAGATTCAGTTTACTTCTGTAAACACTGACAGTTTAGCTACTAAACAAAAATAACTCTTCCGAGGAAATAGCTAACAGTTTCATTTGTCTCCTTCATAAAGATCAGCAATTATCATCAGCAGGGAGCCAGTTATTTGCAGAAAACACTGCGTCATTGTGCTCCCCTCTTGCGAAGGGATGCGGTTTATGAAGATGATGGCTCGGCTAGTGATCTGGCAAAGTACGCCACTAGAGATTGGGACATAGTGCACTCGTCTGACATCATGTGTAATTACACTAGCCAGAAAAGCATAGCTGATTGTAAGAGCTGTGTATGGACCACAGTTCCTGTATGTTTCTCCAGAATTATTGTCAAATTCTCAACACAAATAGGGTTATTCACAAACCTGCCGAAGGCAGCTGAGTGAAAAACCGAGCCGAAGTGAACAGAGCCGAATGACGTTGGGGCTATTCACCTGCTAGAGTCTTAACATCCGTGACATCATGACCGCCCAGTTGTTATCGTTTAATGACAGATCAGCGTCCCCAGGTCATTAGAGGACGCTGATCTGTTATTACAAGTGGGCAGAGTGAGCCGTGAGGCCAGGCCGTTCTCCCCTCTTCGGCTCTCACTTCGGCTCAGTCGAGCCGGAGCATATGCCATCGGCTCGGCTGAGCCGCTCAGCCGCCTTCGGCAGTTGTACGGGCTATTTTGAATAGCCCGTACAGCAGCCCTTCGGTTCAACTGAACCGAAGGGCTCCAGCGGCCGAACGATCAGCCAAAGCTACTGCTGGATCCTTTGGCTCTTTAGTGAATAACCCCCAAAGTTCAAAGACTACCAGAGCTACAAATAAAGGCCACAGAACCCTTCCTATATCTCATAAAATAAATAAGTAATGAAGAAGCCAAAAAATCCTCTGTAGGGCGCTGATTGCACCTTGCCAACGGTTAATAAGGCGCATTACCTTTATAGGCAATCGACTTTAAATTGACAACATAATGCACGGTGCTGTATGCACACGTTGTGCGTTGTGGTGCGTTAGTCAGTCTATTTAAAATAAATCGGTCGCAAAGCACCTCAACGCACAAATTTAGACTGAGCGGCATTTGTTTTGCTGCACTGCTGTGTGTTAAAGCTCAAGAGCGTTGGAGTGCCATTGAAAATGAATTCTACAGCACTCCTCCAAGGCACGTAAGTTGCATTACCACGCACTGCAGACGCATTTTACCGCAACGCCCTTATCTGAATGGGCCTTTAATGAAATTACCCTCTACCGCTCCTCAGTGTAGCCAGCTACAGGTGAAACTCGAATAATTAGAATATCGTGCAAAAGTAATTGCAGTAAGTGCTGCAAAAGGGGCCCAAACCAAGTACTGAGTACATATGCATGCTTGTACTTTTCAGAGGTCCGATATTGTTCTATGTACAATCCTTGTTTTATTGATTGCATGTAATAATCTACTTTTTTAAGGTTGTGGATTTGGGGTTCTTGGGGTTTTCATGAGCTGTAAGCCATAATCATCACAATTATGACAAATAACGGCTTGAACTATCTTGCTTTGCATGTAATGAGTCTATCTCATATATTAGTTTCACCTTTTAAGTTGCATTAGTGAAATAAATGAACTTTGCACGATATTCTAATTATTCGAGTTTCACCTGTATATTAGTTACCTTCAGCCTGGCTCTGGATATCTTCATTGTGAAGTCTTGCACATTCCCGCAAAGCCTTTTGTTGTCAATAGTGCCAGCCAGGCCTGGTCTTATTCCCACGGATGGGGTTGTACTTCTATGAATGGCTAACCATCCATAGAAATTAATAGACCCCAAAAGAGTCTAGCACTGAGGAAGGGGGGGGGGGGATCTCCCCTGAAACGTGTCAGCACTTTTGGCTCTAACCTGGATGTTTGGTATTTTACATCGCTTGTCTCCATCATGTATATATAAGTAGTTTTTTTATCTCTATATATATTTTGCATCCAATAAACGGTATCACACGAGGAAAAGGCGCTGTCCTTTTTGTTTCTTTGCATAGGTCATGAGGATACTTCCCCATCTTTGTGGATAGCAGCCTCCCTCAAGTGACTGGTGGTGAAGATTACCCTGCATTGGTTTCTGAGCGCTGTGGACATCATCTATTAGACTCCAAAGGAAAACTTTACTAAAAGTGATGTTTTTTTTTAAAAAGTGCTTTCACTAAATTGCTAATGATACTACTTATGTGAATATCACCAATTGGCCTGAATGGGTCTAGCTAGAAGATGAAGAGGTGGTCTCAAAAAGTGAGGTTTTACTCTGACGCTGTTTCCTGGCTGATAAACGAGATTGTGCAGTGTTTAAGGTAAAGTCTGCAGTGTGCTAGCATCAATTCAGTGACTATAACTGACATGGAGTGGACTAGAACTCTTAAGTTACACTTTAACAAATACAGAAATTACACTAAAGGATCTTTATCAGCTATATATGATTTGTACTCAGTCATTCGGTGTTCAGGGAGTTTCAATGTGCCATCATGATGTTTTTTAATCCCCATGTGCACTAGGCCATAAGCCTGGAAAAACTAGGGGTTTAACGACAGCAATATGATTGATATAAATCCAATACATCGACCTCTGTCTTAGCTGTGTGTACATTATATATAGCATATTGAAGCAGGAACAGGTACAAGCTGGCAATCTTACTGTGCAAAGAATCTATGCATATAGCAGATCCCCAGGTCTATTGCATGTAAAGCT